GCTCAATGGGTCACTAAATTTCAGAAGTTTAAAAGCAGGGGGCTAGAGTTTGTATTCAAATTTCCTAAGGTATATACATATATATATATATATATGTATGTATATATATATATATAATCATATATATCAAATTATTTATATGTACTCTGTTGTATTTACCAATATATTATATGGTGTATATATAAATGTACAGATATATAATATTAATTATATACATATATTTCATATTATTTAATATTATATATTTAAATATTTTGGTTATATATCATATACATGTATATATATGTAAATTGTTAATTCTTCTCTGTTATCTAATCCAGAGTAACACCCAATAGAGATCCCTCAGAGATGGGTCCCGGGATGAAATCACAGGATGAAGAAGACTGTAAGCAGCAGAGCCAAAAATTCCAGTGCCAACACTTTGTGTGGCTCTACCTGTAACAACAGCCATGCTTCCTGCAGCTGCTATAGTAAGGACACGTACAGATATCTGCGGTATAGGAAACACCCAAAGGAAATGACACAAAGATCAGCATTGCCCAGGACAACAGGAACAGAAATATCACATTGTATTGTTAGGAAAGAGGGATTTGGTCTTGCTGTCTACATTCACACATGAATGCTCCTATTCAATATCAGAAAAAAAATTACATTAAAAATTCAGTTTTCGGCTGGCCATTGGCGGCTCACAGGTGACCCTAGCTACTAAGGAGGCTGATCTGAAGATCATGGTTCAAACCAACCCAGGCAGGAAGCTCCCTGAGATCCTTGTCTCCAACTATCCAGCAAAGAGCTGGATTTGGCTCAAGTGCTAGAGTACAAGACCTTTCATGGAAAAGTTTCAAGGATGAGGGAAGGAGTGACAATTTCCAAAAGAAAAGGTACTCTACCTGATTTATGCAACTGCAACCCTCCGTACAAAATCTTAATTATAAAAATAAAAATGCATTTTGTAAAAGCTCAGGGACTCTTCCCAGGAAGAGTTGTAGTCCCAGTACCAGCATAAACACATACACGTACACACACATAGTTGATTCTCCTATCCTAAAAGGTATCATCATGATAAAATATGTAGTTTTCTATTGTTTATTACAGAGAGATAAAGTAGGGATATAGTTCTTTGTTTTGGGGTTTTTTTTTTAGTTGCCTGCTACATGAAAAAATTATCTGTGAGGTTAGGCCTTACAAGGCCTAAGTAAAGGTTTATTTAACCATGGTTAACGTCATCATCATCACAAATATTTGGGGGGTTGGACCATGACAGAGCTCTTGCATTCTCTACTGGGAGAGATTCTTCAATTACTTGGAACATGTATGGAAAGCAAACAGAACAGTAATTGGAGTCCAAAATTCACTACTGTAAGTCAAGATGTAAATGTCCTAGGGCTGTGAGATAAACTCTGCCTCCTGGTAACCCTCCCATCCAGCTACCCCAGCTACATTCTCAGCATGGCAAACAAGCCAGGTCACTGCCGTCCCTCCTCCATCTAGGGGTCCAGTAACACTTACTGGGCTGCATTGGGACTTTGCTGGGAGGAGACCAAAAGACACTTGGTTGTTTTCTTCCCTGCTTTGAATGAGATACTCAGCATAGTGCTAAGGGCTGGCAGAAAGACATGACCACACAGGAGTCCCTTGGTTCTTTGATAAGCCTGGCAGAAGGACACTTCCACACAGACCATGGGCTACAAGAAGATAGCTGAGTGACACAGAATGGGTTCTTATAACCAGCTCACCTGGACGGTAAATGCTCAGAGCTGATCATTAGTCAAGTTGGTCCATGGATTCTAATTACTAAGGACTTGCTAATCCCAGTGGAGAAGGAAAGGGAGAAAATTAATTGCAAGGAAAATTAATTGCTTTACCTCAGGAGGAAGCTGAATTGACTTATTATGATTTATAATTTGCAGGGATTTTATGAAATTCAGACAATAATTTTTTGTGTGTGGTATCCTAGAGATTGAACTCAGGTCCTGGGTGCTGTCCTTGGACTTTTTTTGCTCAAGGCTTGTGCTCTACCACTTGAGTCAGAGCTCTGCTTTCAGGTTTGTTTTTGGTGATTAATTGGAGATAAGGGCCTTACAGCCTTTCCTGTCTGTGCTGGCTTTTGAACTGTGATCCTCAGCCCTCAGCCTCCTGAGAAACTAAGATTATAAGTGTGAGCCACTGGCACCAGGCACTAATGTTTTTTTCAATTGAAAATGTTACTATTTGAAACTTAAAATTTTTATCCTTTTATTATCTGTCAACAGTTGTACAAAGGGTTTTCAATTCAACATGACAGCTATAAAAACTATGCTTTTTTTTAACATTTGTACTTTAAGTAGTTGTACAAAAGGGTTTCAATTAAACAAATTAGATTATGAGTACAATCCATCCTGTACATTGTCATCCCTTTCAACTTTCTTCCCTGCATCTATCTGAATGCCATTTATCCTCCCTGAGTTCTACTTCCATATATGTACTCATTGAGTATTGTCATTTTACATTTTATTGTTTTTATTTTATTTTCAGAGGAAGGTCATGTGGCTTGAACTCAGAGCTGAGGCACTTTCCTTGAACATTTTTCTGAAGGCCATTGTTCTACCACTTGAGCCACAGCTTCACTTTTGTTGGCTAACTAGAGCTGAGAGCCTTACAGACTTTCTTACCTGGGCTGGCTTTGAACTGTAATCCTCAGATTTCAGCTGCCTGAGTAGCTGGGATTACAGGCCTGAGCCACCTCACTTGGCTATCTCTGTACATTTTAACTCAGATATTTCCCAACCTATTAATTCAGACATGGAATATACACAGTTTGTTCTATATTATGAATCAACTACAAGTTCCATTTTTTTTTTCTCCTTTGCAATGGATAACTCTAAGGAGAACTTCAAATCTTTTCCTTGTTGGCTCTATGTTGGAGAGGGAAATCTCCTGTGGCACTCTAGATTCTCCTTTATCTTCCAAGTCCATGTGTGTTTATACAGCATTCAATTATTTATTTGGAAACACCTATTAAGAGGGAATATGTGAACCAAGTGGGCTAAGGACTTAGCTCACTGTTGTAATGCTTTTCTAGCAAGTATAAGCTCCATGATTCAAAAGGAAGCAATATTTTAAATAACAAACATTCTATTTAGATGGAAGAGATGTCGCAGAAATAAACAATACAGGTTATCCTCATATGTTTCTTCGCAAAAGTATTATTGTAGAGAAGACAGAGTTTTTAACATAGGATTTTGGAAAAAGCAGATATTTACATGTAAAAGAATAAAAGCAAGTTCTTTTTTCTGCTTTCTTTGCTTTGCTTTATAAGTCTTTAAGTAGTTGTAGAAAGAGTTGCCATTTAGCAGTTTATGAATGTAATATATCTTGATCAATGTCACCCTTTAACATTCCCACCCATCTCTCCTCTACCTCCCCTCATTCTTCTTAATTTTGTAGGATATACTTTGGATTCTTGTCGGCATATCTTTTCCTCTTTTCCTCTTCATTCATCAACTGCTTTCCCCTTGACCCCACCCCATCCATTTCTAGTACGTGCTTCCTGGTGTTTTATTGTGCTGAACTTTGATTTTATCTTTCTAAGGAATTACACTATTTGAGATCAACCTTGAATCTACTTTATTTCAGCTAAAACATTTGCATAGCACCCAACATGTTTACTATATATTCATAAGCTAAATCTTGAATCCACATATAAGGGAAAACATGCATTTTTAAAAGCAGATTCTTATATATCATCATAATTAAATCAAATCCAAGAGGGTGAAATATATTGATTAAAGGTCTGAAACTAGAACTATTTAGAAAAAAAAAAAAAAAACAAGAAATAAACACTTAAAAATATTGACACATGGGCTGGGAAGATGGCTCAGTGGTAGAGCGCTTGCCTTGCATGCATGAGGCCCTGGGTTTGATTCCTCAGCACCACATAAGCAAAAAAAAGCCAGAAGTGGTGCTGTGGCTCAAGTGGTAGAGCACTAACCTTAAGCTGAAGAGCTGAGGGACAGCGCCCAGGCCCAGAGTTCAGGCCCCACGACCGGACCCCCCAAAAAAATATTGACACAGGTAGTTAATTCCTGAACTAAAAGGCACAGTTATGTGGAAAATAATAACAAGAACTGACAAATGAGACCACATCAACTTAAAAAGATGCTGCACGGAAAAATTATAATAATAATTATTATGATCATGATACTAACACAGTAGAAGACAGCTAGCAGAGTCAGACATAACTTTTGCCTGAATTTACTGAGCAAATGTTTAACTGAAAACAAATTAAACAAAGAGAAAATTACATAGTCAGTAAATGGGTAATAGAACTGAACAGATGTATGTCAAATGAAGACATTCAAATATCCAATAAATGACCACCAAAAAGATATGGAAAAAGAAGATCACCATGTCTGTATGCATAAATCAGATTATAAATAGTAGCAAATCAGTTCTTCATTGTTACAGAAAGAGCAAATATGTTTCTATGATCTGCTTTCATCATGATACACTTTTGAGGAGCCAGAGGTCTTGATTTTGGTACCTTTTCCATATATAACTAAAGCCCTTTTCTAGGACATAGTTACTCAAATGATACCTTCAAAGAACAAGGCTCCATTTGCTAAATGCACTTTTTGTGAGTGTGTTTGTGTGCTAGTACTGAGGCTTGAACTCAGTGACTGGGTGCTGTTCCTGATGTATTTTGCTCAATGTTGGCACTCTACCACTTATGCCACAGCTCCCCTTCTGGTGGTTTTTTTGTGAGTAATTGGAGATAATAATTCACAGACTTTATTTTCTGGGCTGGCTGCAAACTATAATTCTTAGATCTCAGTTTTCTGAGTAGCTTGGATTACAGGTGTGCGCCACAGCACCTTACTGCTAAATGAACTTAGCATATTCTCAACCATAGCATGAGTTTGCAGAACAGAATCACATTGTAAGTCAAGCACACCAAGGTCAAAGATGTTTTCTAAATTCAGACATCTGGTTTTGCTGTTTCTTTGAACCTATAGATCTTACTATGGACAATGGGCTGCTTTGCAGGCCAGGAACCAAAGAGCTCTCTTGATGTCCCTGTTCCTCAAACTGTAGATGAAGGGGTTCAGCATGGGAGTGACCATGGTATACATCACAGAGGCCACCATCAGCATCTTAGGGGCATGAAAGACAGCAGAACTGCAATACGCACCCAGGGCTGTCCCATAAAACAAGCTCACGATAGACAGGTGAGAGCCACAGGTGGAGAAGGCTTTGTATTTCCCACTGGCTGATGGGACTCTCCGAATGGAGGAAATAATGTGAGCATAAGAATAAATGATCCCCGAGAGTGGAAGACCACCAAAGACTGCAGCAAAGAGGTAAAGGAGCAGTTTACTGTTAGACACATAATCACAGGCAAGCTTAAGGAGTTGAGGAAGGTCACAGAAGAAATTGGGGATTTCTACATCCGTACAAAAGTTAAATTGTGACACCATCAAGCAGTGAGCCAGCGAGTCTAACAGAGCAATGGACAATGCCAGCAGAACCAGCAGGCCACATAGCCTGGAATGCATGATGATTGGGTAATGCAGAGGGTGACAGATTGCTACAAATCGGTCATAAGCCATTACTGCCAGTAATTGACTGTCCAAACCACCAAAAAAGAAAAAAAAGGCCACTTGCATTAGGCAGCCAGTATAGCTGATGGATTTGCTATGAGTCTGGAGGTTTGCCAGCATCTTAGGGACAGTGCTGCTGCTGAATCCAATGTCAGCCAAGGAGAGGATGGAGAGGAAGAAGTACATGGGGGTGTGGAGGCGGGTATCAGAGGTGACAGCCAGGATGATGAGCAGATTTCCAAGCATCGTAATCAGGTACATGGTCAAGAATATTTTCAAGAGGATGAGCTGTGTTGCTGAATCATCAGTGAGCCCCAGGAGATGAAATTCCAAGACCCTTGTTAAGTTCTGTGACTCCATGTTAGTAGGACACCTTTTTTTTTCAAGAAAAAAGGGACAGATTATTGGAATAAATAAAGTAGTATTTGTGACACCAGCAAATTATTTGTAATTTGCCTTTATACAACTAAAAATAAATCTACTCAGACTTGATCATTGAAATGATTTGGGTAAGATGTTTATTATTTCTTCCAGAAGTTCATGTGAAGGAGGAAGCTACATGTGTGGGATGATTTTTGTGGATTCTTTTGGAAATGGACGTGTAGCTCAGTGCTCCATAGCTTGTCCAGCATGACTGAGGCCCTGGGGCAAACCTCGACTATTACATGGAAGGAAAGAGAAGGGAAGGAAGAAGGGAGGGAGAAAAGAAGGAAGGGAGGAAGAAAGGAATGAAGAGAAGAAAGGTTGGAAATGAGGGAGAAAGGAAAGAAAAGGGAAAGGAAGAGGGAAGAACAAAGGAAGGATGGAAGGATAAAAAGAAAAAGGGGAGGAAAGGAGCCAGGGAAAGAAGGGAAGGCGGGAGAGAGAGAAGGGAAGGATGAAAGGACAGAGACAGGAAGGAAAAGGAAATGGAAGAAAGGAGAAAGAGTAGGAAAGAAGGAAGGGAGGGCAGGGAGTTAGGGAGGAAGGAGACCATGAAAGTGGATGGAGGTGAGGTAATGCGTTAGAGAAGACTGTGATTCCTCAGCCTCTCTATTTTCATGGCCAGCATGCGATATTTTCTCTTGCATAGATATTTACCGAGGTTTGCTACTATACATCTAGGATTTCTAGACACCAGAGTGAGAGTAAAATAAATAAACTTTAAGTGTAAAGTTTGCCTGAATGTAGGACCTCATTCTATTGATGCAAAGCAGACTTGAACAAGGGCCTTGCATCTTCCAATATTTCTCCATTCTGACTCTTACATCGTCTCTTCGTTGGATTCTTATTCCATGTAATTGCTTTTATGTCATTCCATTTACAGACTTTAGGCCAAAGAACATTTCGAGACTGTCAGTGTAGAGAACACAGGAAAATGTCCCGTCTCTACATTGGGAAGGGATCCATGGAATAAGAAATATTTTTGCAGAGCTAGATGCTGGTGTTGGCTCACACCTGTAATCCTAGCTACTCAGGTTGAGATGTTGATTTGAAGTCAGCCTAGGGAGGAAAAACTGTGAGACTCTTGTCTTCAATGAACAAGCAAAAAAAAAAAGAGAGAGAGAGAGAGAGAGAAAGGAAAAAGAAATAAAAAAGAGAGAAAGAGAAAGAGTGAGAAAGAGAAATAAAGTGATAGAGGAAGTGAGAGAGAAAGAAAGAGAAAGAAAGAAGGAAGGAAGGAAGGAAGGAAGGAAGGAAATCTTGAAGCTTAGCTCAAATGCTAGAGCATCAGTTTTGAGCAAAAAAAAATCAGATTCTGTGCACTGAGTTCACACTCAATACCAGAGCACATGCTCGCACTCACACACACACACACACACACACACACACACAAACAAACTAACAATGAGACAAAAGGACTATTTATACTGATACCCACCTGACTTATCTATTCCCTTCTGAAGTGGGTCAAGACCAGAGCATCTGGAAAATGAAAAACAAATAGAGCAATCTTTGGGGAAAAGGATGTCTTATAGGGGAAATAATTGTTAAAAATCTCCAGCAAAACCAAAGGTTCAGACACGATTTAGAACAAACAAATATTCAAAGGAGAAAAACTATTTGAAAGGAGAAATTATAAAAATCCGAATGAGTCACTTATGCCCACCTCCAAAAAGTAAAGTATGGAACTTTAAAAGCAATTTTTTGTGCCAGTTCTGGAACTTGAACTAAGGGCCTAAGCCCTATATGTGATCTTTTAATGCTCAAGACTGGCACTCTACCACTAAGGCACATATCCAATTCTGGCTTTTTGGCAGATAACTGGAGCTAAGAGTCTCACAGACTTTCCTGTCTGAATTGGCTTTGCACCATGATCCTCAGATCTCAGCCACCTGAGTAACTGAGATACAAGGGTGAACCAACAGCACTCCATTCTCAATGACCTCTATTGTAACAAAACCTCCAGAAGACCAGTCCTGAGAAAATAGTACTGTCATAATACCACCTGATGGCACCTCTGGCCACATCTGAACAGCACCTGTGACTTGGGACTATTTTTTCTATACATGCTTTTCCACCCCTAGCTCCCATTATCCCATATAACCTAGGGCAAACACATACTAGGAAGATGACAGGAAATTGACAGGAATGTTGTTTACCCATGGACTGCCTCTGCCATTTTATATAATCTCCTATCTTTGACATTCAAAAACAACTTAAAAAATTAAAATAGCTAGATGAAAGAATAACAAAATAACAGCAATAATAATCACAATAAAATAATAAAAATGAAGCTCTCAGCAACTTATGGGAACCTTGGCATGCAGATGACAGAAGATACTAGTCAAAGGATGTGACTTTATCTTGCTAGTATTTAAGTAATAAGGTCTAAAATTTATATCGCCAAATTCTCTGAATCTCACCACATTTAGTCACATGCAGTGTTTCAATTTTTTCAGTTGAATCTCAGTGCAGTTGGAATGAGCAGAGACAACTCAGATAACATCACAAAGAACTTGTCCAGAGACCCACAGGTGACACAGATCACAGAAGCATTCAAAATGAAATTCTGGGCCTTTGAGGCCCAACCAAGGGACTTGTTTTAAACTTGAAAGTTTAAAAGCAGAGGACTACATATATAATATTATATGATAATATATGTAGTAATATATATTACATTATAACATATATAACAATTTCTCTCTCTCTCTCTATATATATATATGTGTGTGTGTATATATATATATATATATATATATATGTATGTATATATATGTATCTTTAATTTGTTTCTGTTATCAGACTCAGAGTAACACCCAGCAGAGAGCCCTCAGAGATAGGCACAGGGATGAAATCACAGGATGAAAATGGCTGTGAGCTACAGAAGCAAAATTAGGAGCAAAGGGAGGAGAAAGAAGTGCTCTAAACTCTCCAGTACAAACACTTTCTGTGGCTACCTGTATACCAGCCTTGCTTCCTGCAGAAGCTACAGCAAGGACACCCACAGATCTCCTCTGTGGTATAGGAAACACCCAAAGGGAAAGACACAGAAATCACTGTTGCCCAGGGCAACAGGAACTGAGATCAGTGTTAACCAGGGCAACAGGAACTGAAATCAGTGTTGCCTAAGGCAACAGGAACAGAAATACCCCATTGGGTTGGTAGAAAAGAGACCAGGAACCTTGTGTATGTGTGTATGTGGGGGGGGGGGGTGCTTATTGAGGGGTTCCTGATATCTAGATTCAAATTTGATTGCATCTACTATCAGGAGAAGAATAAAAATTGCATAAAAATTCAATTATTAGATTGTCACCAATGGCTCATGCCTATAATCCCACTCTCTTTAGAGGTTAATATGAGGACCAAAGTTTAAAGCCATCCTAGGCAGGAAAGTCCATGAGACTCTTATCTTCCATTAGCCAGCAAAGAGTAGGAAGCAAGGCTGTTGCTCATGTGGTAGAGTACCAACCTTGAGTGAAAAAAGCTCAGGGATGAGGGAAAGGGATGGCACTGTCCAAAAGAAATGTACCCTATACCTGACTTTATCTTTTACTGCCACCTAACTACATAACCTTCATAATAAGAATTTTTTTAGGGAAAGCACCTAGACCTTAAGTTCAAGGTGCAGATTCAGCACACACACACACACACACACACACACACACACACACACACACACACACGCGCGAACACACACATATGTTTGATTTGCTTATCCTAAAATGTTTCATGATGATAAAATATGCGTTTTTCTATTCCTTATCATGGAGAGAATGTTTGGTGATACAGATTTGTTTTTTTTTAATTGGCTGCTTCATGAAGAAAGTGAGCTGAAAGTCCTAGTATTGGAAGGCCTACATAAAGGTTTATTACCTCATGGTTAAGTTATCATCATGATGATGATTTTTTGGGGGTGGGGACATGACAGAGCTTCTGCATCCTGCTCTGGTGGGAGAGATTCGTTGACTTGGAACAGCTATAGGAGGCAAAAAGAACAGTAATTGTGGTCCGCCTACCATTACTGTAAGTCAATATAATATATATAGTGCTGTGAGGTAAACTCTGCCTCCTGGTAACCTCCCATTCAGCTACCCCAGCTACATTCTCAGCATGGCAAACAAGCCACATCACTTCCACCCTTCCTCCATCCAGCAGTACAGTAGCACTTACTGGCCTGCACTGGGTCTTTGCTGGGAGGAGACCAAAGGATACTTGGTTGTTTTCTTCCCTGCTTTGAATGAGATACTCAGCTCAGTGCTAAGGGCTGACAGGAAGACATGACCACATGGGAGTCTTCTGGTTCTTCTGATGAGCCAGGCAGAAGGACACACTTCCACAAAGACCATGGGGCTACAAAAAGCCAGTTGTAAGACAGGGATGCAGAGTGGGTTCTTATAACTAGCTCACCTGAAAGGTCAATCAATTCTCTGAGCGGATCATTAGTCAAGTTGGTTCCATGGATCCTAATTGCTAAGGACTCGCTAATCTCAATGGAGCAGGAAAAGGAGAAAATTAATTGCTAGAAAGGATCTGGCCCTCTTTACCTCAGGAGGAAGCCAAATTGTCCTCTTCTGATATCTAGGCTGCAGTGATTTTATGAAATTCAGACACTAATGTTTTGTGGTGTCCTCTAGCTGGAATTCAATGCATGAATGCTGTCCCTGAGCTTTTTTGTTCAAGACTAATGCTCTTGAGTCAGAGCTCCACTTCCAGTCTTTTTGCTGATTAACTGGAGATGGGGGGTGGTCTCATTGACTTTCCTGCCCAGGCTGGCTTTGAACTGGTACCCTCAGATCTCAGCCTCCTGATTAACTAGTATTACAGGTGTGAATTCTGGCACCTAACACACAATATTTTTTTTCAGTTTAAAAAGATTTATTTTGAATGATGAAAACTTTAGAACCCTGATAAAGGAAATCAAAACAGAACTTAGAAAGTGGGAAAACCTCCCATGCTCCTGGATTAGAAGGATCAACATCACAAAATGGCTACTCCTCAAGGCTATCTACAAATTCAATGCAATACCTATCAGTATTCCAACCTCATTCTTCAAGGAAATAAAAGAGGCAGCCCAAAAATTCATTTGCAACAATAAAAGACCTTGAATAGCAAAAACAATCCTTAACAAAAAGAACAATGCTAGAGGAATATCAATACCAAATTTCAAACTCTACTACAAAGCTATAGTTATCAAAACAGCTTGGGACTGGCTCAAGAAGAGGCCTCAGGACCAATGGAAGATAATTAAAAACTCAAAAAGGGAGCTAAAACATAGAATGGAAGAAAGACAGCTTCTTCAGCAAATGGTGCTGGCAAAATTGGTTAATCACTTGTAGAAAACTAAAGCTAGATTCTTATATATCACCCTGCACCAGAATCAACTCCAAATGGATCAAAGACCTCAGAGTCAAAGCAGATACCCTGAAAACATTACAGGACAGAATAGAAGAAACCCTAGGTCTCCTTGGCACGGGCAGAAACTTTCTTAATAGAGACCCAGAAACACAACAAATCAAAGAAAGGTTGGCCAGATGGGGTTGCATAAAGTTGCAGAGCTTCTGCATGGCAAAAGACTTAGCAAGCAAGATCAATAGAAGGACAATAGATTGAGAAAAATCTTCACCAGCCATACAACAGACAAGGGTCTAATATCTAAAATATACCTGGAACTCAAAAACTTAAATCCCCCAACAACAAATCCTCAAAGAAACAATTGCCTGATTAATAAATGGGCTAATGACTTAAAGAGAAACTTCGCTGAAGAGGAAAGAAAGATGGCCAATAGACACATGAAGAAATGCTCAGCCTCTGTAGCCATAAAAGCAATGCAAATCAAAACAACATTGAGATACCACCTCACCCCAGTTAGAATGGCTATAATCAAGAACTCTAACAACAACAGATGCTGGAGGGGATGTGGACAGAAGGGAACCTTACTGCATTGTTGGTGGGAGTGTAAACTTGTTCAACCACTTTGTAAAGTAGTATGGAGGTTCCTCAAAAGACTCCACATAGAGTTCCCTTATGATGCCGGGCACCAGAGGCTCACGCCTATAATCCTAGCTACTCAGGAGGCTGAGATCTGAGGATCACGGTTCAAAGCCAGTCCGGGCAAGAAAGTCCATGAGACTCTTATCTCCAATAAACCACTAGAAAACCAGAAGTGGTGCTGTGGCTCAAGCGATAGAGGGATCACCTTGAGCTGAAGAGCTGAGGGACAGTGCCCAGGCCCAGGAGTTCAAGCTCTATGACTGACAAAAAAACAAAAAGAATTCCCTTATGACCCAGCAATCCCACTGTTGGGCATTTACCCAAATGATCACAAAGAAGATCATACTAAAGCTACCAGCCCAACTATGCTTATTGCAGCATTATTTACCATAGCTAAGATATGAAACCAACCCAGATGCCCCTCAGTAGGTGAATGGATCAAGAAAATGTGGTATATATACACGATAGAATTCTATGCCTCCATCAGAAAGAATGGCATTGCTCCATTTGTTAGGAAATGGAAAGACTTGGAGAAAATTATATTAAGTGAAATAAGCCAGGCCCAAAGAAACATTGGTTCCATGGTTGCCCTTATTTGCAATAACTCATATATGTCTGAGACAAGCAGAAAAGGTCAGATAAGATGATGTTAAGCGAAATGAACCCCAAAGTAAGGACACAAGTGTTTTTTTTTCTTTCTTGATATTGTTTCTAACATATTTATAAGGTATCATGTGATTTATTGATGCTTTGTATGTCCCTCCCCCATGGTATAACCTCTGTTTTCACTGTATCTGATGTTGGTATAATTTGTGGAGGGGGGAAGGGAGAAAACAAATTGTTTAAATAGGGATACAGGTTGACCCATTTTAGTTTTTTGAGGAACCGTAATACTGTTTTCCAGATTGGTAGAACAAGCTTACATTCCTACCAACATTGTAGTAGAGCTGCCCTTTGTCCACATGTTCACAAGCATTTGTCATTGTTTGATAATGGGTGGAAATATTCCTTATCCTCTAGTGTGTTCCATTAATAAAGCTCCATTCTCTTAGTTACAGAGTATTAGAGATAGTTACCAGATATACCCTTAATCAAAGGACTCTGTGACAGCATGACAAACATCTTATGAAATGATCACTAGTGATCTATAATAAAAATAACTTTTATAGCATTATAGGGTAAGACAAAATTTATGAAATTTCTCATTAAAATCTGACTGAACCTAGAGAACTGAAATGTCAGAAATCAAAGCACAGAGAACCAAACCCTATTGTCCAATAGTTATGTTGTGATTCAACAGAATCAAAAAATCTGTGGATCTTCTGGAAATAACAATGTTGATATAAAGATTCATGATGTAATCAATAGGCAAGTTAGCAAAGACATGTAATTGCAGTTTTCAAAAGTGAAGGAGACGAATGTCAAAGTGTACATGAACATTATAACTTCTTCTAAAACAGCTTTATTGGAATATAATTTCTTTTAAAACAGCTTTATTGGAATATAATTTCTTTTAAAACAGCTTTATTGGAATATAATTTCTTTTAAAACAGCTTTATTGGAATATAATTTATATTCATATCAGCAATAAATAATGTAATGGATTTTTCCTCATTCTGTAAATGAAGGATCACATGTAATCTTTGTCCTTCTGATTACTTTGATTGATGTAGGATTCCTTGTTTTGTTTTGTTAGATGTTATTTCTCTTCTCAGGTAGGATCTGTGTTCCTGCTGATCACCCACATCTCCATTCGTTGCCCAGGCAACAAGATCATCATTTATCTTCCACCAAAAAAAGGGAGAATATGCCATTTCTGTCTTTTAGTTCCTGATTTATTCACTTAGCTTCATGTGTACCACTTCCATCTGTGTCAATGTGGATAAGAGAATATTGTTCCTATTTATTGGCAAATAATACTCCACTGTGGATAAAGATCACCCTTTAAAATCCACCTCCGTGACTCTAATTTTCAATAAAATGCTTAGGGGCAGTCTTATTGAGAAGGTGGTCTTTCATGGAAGATCTTAAACAGGTGAAGGAGAGACTCATACAGACACAAGGCCTAGATTGCCAAGTGCAAAAACCCTGAGAGGATGTCCTCTGAACATGCTCATTTTTGTTGTTTTTTAGTACTAGTCCTGGGACTGGAATGCAGGTCCTGGGTGCTATCTCTGAATTTTTGTGCACAATGCTAAATGCTGTACTGGTTGAACTATAGCTCCACTGTCAGCTTTTTTGATACTTAGTTGGTGATAAGAATCTCCCTGACTTTCCTGTCTGAGCTGGCTTCAAAACTTGGTCCTCAGATCTCAGCCTCCTGAATAGATAGGATTATAGGCCTGAACTAATGTCACTCAGCTTAACATGCACATATGGGAGACTTATAGCAGAGCCAATTAATAGTCACTTTTTTATGAATGGAAATAAACGTAAGATGATCCCAGAGGTAAGAAAAACAAGCTTTTATAGTTACAAAATTTATGGACAGAGAGGAGAAGCATGGTATGAGAACCAATGATGAAAGAGAGGCATCAGCAAATGGAATCCTAGCCAGGGTTGAGTCTTCACAGTAAGAAGAGTTCATCACTGCTTTGGAAAGAAAGTGAATGATCCCAGGTAATCAAGAACTCTGCCTTCTTGAGTTGTTATCCTGCCTGCCCCACCCACTTTCCTTCATTCTCTGACATCAAATGTGGCTTGAGCTTCAAATCTTGTGAGAGGAGATGGGCTAGAAACAGAAAGATGAATGCTACATGTGGGAAAGCTGCAAACATTGGTGTCCACAATGGACACATGTATGAAATTAACTTGGGGGCCTTTGCTATCACTATCAATGTGTGATGACGTTACAAAATTGATCTCCCCAAAGAGTTGAGCAGAATAGGAATTGTTAAAGGCAAGAAAGGTTGGTAGAGAATACTATCCAGGTATTGGTATTTCTGGCATCTTGGCAGTTCTTAAAGCCAGTCACAACGAAGGCCTCCCAAGGAGGAGACGCCCTAAGGCTCCCTTCATCTCTCTGTTCCTCAAACTGTAGATAAAGGGGTTCAGCATTTGAGGGATCACAATGTACATCATGGAGGCCACCACATTTTTAGTGGAAGAACCAGCAACCTCAGAGCTCATGTATACCCCAAAAGCTGTCCCATAGAATAAGGAGACCACAGAGAGATGAGACCCACAGGTGGAAAAGGCTTTGTATCTTCCCTTCATTGTGGGGATCCTCAAAATAGAGGAGACTATTTGGATGTAGGAGAAAATAATCCCAGAGAGAGGAACACCAGCAAATACAGTAGTCACTGTGTAGATGAGAAGGTTATTGGTGTTAATGTCTGAACAGGCCATTTTCATGACCTGGACTAGCTCACAGAAGAAGTGGGGGATTTCTAAGTAAGTGCAGAAGGACAGTGTCAGCAGCATGAGACTGTGGAGCAAGGCGTTCATGGTACTTACGAGCAGGGACATTATAACCATCAGGACACAGAGGCAGGGGTGCATGATGGCTGCGTACCTCAGGGGGTGACAAATGGCCACATAACGGTCATAGGCCATCGCTGCAAGGAGACAACTTTCTAAACCACCAAAAACCAAGACAAAGCAGACCTGGGTGAGGCATCCAGCGAAGGAGATGCTGTGGTCCTGGGCCTGGATGTTCACCAGCACTTTTGGGATGGTGGTGGTGCTAGTACAGATGTCTGTGAAAGAGAGACTGGAGAGGAAGAAGTACATGGGGGTATGGAGGTGGAGGTCAGAGCTGACAGCCAAAATGATGAGCAGGTTGCCCAGAATGGTGACCAAATAGATAGAAAAGAAGAGGCTGAAGATGAGGGGCTGGACTTCTGGACGGTCTGTGAGTCCCACAAGGAAGAATCCAGCAATAGTTGTGTGGTTTGTGAACTCCATATTCCCTCTGGAAATTACAGAAAGGTCAAGGTATAACAACATGAAATGAGGGTCAGGCCCCTTGGTCCACACCTGCAAATCCAGCTACTTGCGAGGCAGAATCGGGAAAATTGTGGTTCCAAGTCTCACCAAGAGAGAAAGTAAGAAATCCATTTCAACCAACAATCCAGCATATTGGATCACACCTAATCCCAGATGCATGGAGGTTTGCAGTCCATTCCTCTGTGTATTCTGCTTCTAGCTTTTGTTTTCTTTAAAGAACATGCGTACTATACATATAGGGCCCACCGAAGATTAAAATAGAGAATATGATAGATATTTTCATAAATTATATAGGATTCTGGCATTCACAAACTGAAGCCAAAGGAGGCTATGCCTAAGAGTGGCTGACAAAGGTTCAATAGCTATGCACATATGATCATATAGCATAATATTTTATGAAATGAACTCTAAAAAAAGAAAACAAGAGACTTTTTTAGTTGCCATTGTTGTTGTTTTTCTTTCCTTTTTGTCTTGTTCTTATGTTTGTATTTGGGAGGGTAAGGGAAAGCACAGAAAAGGTGAAACAAGGGTGAACAAATACAACAGGTACTCACTAGACACTCTGTGGAAAATGAACTGTATGTCTTGTAGGTGGGGATAGGAAGGAAAATTGGCAGAGAACAAGGGAAGGGGAGACACGTTTCAAAAAGAATTGTGCTCATTACCTGACTCATGTAACTGTAAACTCTCTGTATATCAACTCTACAATAGCAATAAAAATAAATAAATACATAAAAAGATTTAGAAGTAAAACAAAGAGTTGGGCATCAGTGAATTCCTTCCAAGTGAACATGCAATCATAAATATTTACTTATATAATGTTATTTTGTGTGAAAGACTACATGATTTTATTATCATATCAAAAGTTTTTCTATGTTTAAATATGTAATATTTCTTGGCTCTAAATTTTTTTTTTAGTCCGGTCGTGGGGCCTGCCTGAACTCTGGGCCTGGGTGCTGTCCCTCAGCTCTTCAGCTCAAGGCCAGCGCTCTACCACTTATTGGCTCTAAAATTTTATACTAAGAGATAAATCATAATTAACTCTCTAAATTGTTTTATGTTTAACGTCTCTATTTCTCTTCGATAAGAATTTAAGGAAATAAAATTTGCACATATTTCAAATAAAAAAAAAGGAGGCTTTCCTCTGAAGTAGTCTCCACCTTCAAACAACATAAGAGACAAGACTGATCACATCTATTTTCTAAGAAAACATTCCTCCAGCAGGGACACACTCTGAATCATAATGCTTGTCAAGTTTCAGATGAATGAGCTCATGTTAACAGTTCCAGAACCATATCATGAGCACAAAATACAGAGCTAGCTGAGACCACTGCTTCCACTGATGGAATTCTCCTAACCCCCACCCCATTTCCTAGGCATTGATAGGAGCCTGTCACTTACCTGACTGTCTTCACTATTGTAAGAGGTCAGCCTCTCATCCAGATGTGGAAGATAGGAGCTCCATCTGCCCTCAGGGAAGACCAACACAGTGTCTGAGGCATCAGAGTACTGCTCAGGAAGGCTCCTGGCCTAACTGGGGTTCAGACTTTGTTTCCTGCCTGGGCAGGGCTGTGCAGGGAGGGAGGGACATAGGCCAACTCCTCCAGCCTCTGCAGCCCTCCCTCTCAATATCCAAAGCACCTCATTAAACAGGTATTTCACTGTCATTGTAGTCTCAGGAGTGCATGTCCTTGAAGACTGTGGGGTAGCAGTGAGAAGAGTGTGGTTGATCCCCTGAGACCCAGGCCAAGCATGGGACATCTATGTCTATGCATTGCTTCTCCTCAACTGCACTGTGTGCTCCTGGTCTACACTGTATATGATGCTTGCCTGCCCATTAGGCTATCTCTCTTTAAATGTTGTTGAATAACTATGGACCTGTGATTTTATTTCTTTTCTTTTTCTTTTTCCTTGATCAGTCATGGGGCTTGAACTCTGGGCCTGGGAGCTGTCTCTCAGCTCAAAGCAAGTGCTCTGACATTTGAGCCACAGTGCTACTTCCAATTTTCTGGTGGCTAATTCTCCAGTTTCAAGGACTTTCTTGCCTGGGCTGGCTTTGAACCACAATCCTCATATCTCAGCCACCTGAGTAACTACTAGTATAGGTGTGAGTCACTGATGTCTGGCTGATTTTATTTCTTTTTTTTAAGGCTCTAATTTTTCATTTTTAACATTATCTTTAATAATACAAAGGAGTTGCCATTTAACAAAGCAGTTTATGAATACAATGCATTTTGACCAATGTCAACCTTTCAACATTTTCACCCACTACCCCAACCTACAACTCCCCTTTTCTTTCTTTTCTTCCTTCCTTCATTCTTTCTTTTTTTCCTTCTTTCCTTCCTTCTCCTTTTCTTTTCTTTCTTTCTTCTTTTCTTTTCTTTCTTTCTCCCCTTCCTTCCTTCCTTCCTTCCTTCCTTCCTTCCTTCCTTCCTTCCTTCCTTCCTTCCTTCCTTTCTTTCTTTCTTTCTTTCTTTCTTTCTTTCTTTCTTTCTTTCTTTCTTTCTTTCTTTCTTTCTTTCTTTCTTTCTTTAATTTTGTCAGTTGTAGGACTTAAACTCTGGGCCTTGGTGCAGTCCCTGGTTCTTGAATGGAGCCCAGGCTAAGCATGTGTGCCCACTGAGTTACTATTTCCAGTTTTTCTTTTCTTTCTGCTTTTTTTTAAATTGTGAAAATACCCTAGAGAGGGGTTACAATTACATGGGTAAGGTAATAAGTACATTTCTTATCAAGCATTGTGACCTCCTCCTGAGTTTCCCCTTCGGATCCCTCCCCATCTCCCCCCTCTGCTCCCTCCTTTCCCACTCCCTCCTACCCCTACCAACCCCCACTGCCAAAGTTGTAAAGTTCATTTTTCGACATAAGGTCTTGTATATCTCATTGTTGCTATGGGTCCACCTGTATCCCATTTAAACAATTTGTTTTTCCCTTCCACTCCACAAATTATACCAACATCAAATACAGTGAAAACAGGGCTTCTACCATAGGGGAGGAACATACAAAGCAACAAAGAAATCATCTTATAAATATGTTAGAAACAATCGCAAGAAAGAAAAAAAACATTTGAATACTTATCTTGGGGTTCATTTTGCCTAACATCAACTTATCTGACTGTTTCTGCTTGTCTCAGACATATATTAGTAATTGCAAGTAAGGAAACCATGGGAGCTATGTTTCTTTGGTTTTCTTTTTCTTTTTCTTTTTTTGTTTCTTTTCATCTTGTTGGCCCTTGAATTCACTATGTACCCTGGGTAGTTTTGACTTCCATCTTGTTCTGCTTCCTCCTTCCAAGTGCTTAGATTTAAATTGTGTGCTACTTATGTGCAGAAATCCATGTTTAATGTCTTCTACTTCACAGATTATTCCAATGTTCATTTAGTTTTATTTTTATTGTTATTATAAAGGTGATGTTTAGAGGGATTACAGTTATATATAACTAATGTTCTTTTTTTTTTTTTTTAGTGTGAAAATTGATGAGCTAGTGACAGATTCTGGGTACTGGTGGCTCATGCTTCTATCACAGCTACTCAAGAGTCTGAGATGTGAGGACTACAGTTCAAAATGAACACAGGCAGAGAAATTCCCAAGACTCTTATTTCTAATTTATAAGCAAAGAAACCAGAAGTCAAACTGTGGCTACTGGTAGAGCATCAGCCTTGACCAATAAAGCTAAGAGGCAGTACCTAAGTCCTGAGCTCAAGCCCCATTAAAACACTCTCACAAATACACATGCTTTCTCTTTCATTCACAAATACACACACACACAAACCCAAAATTTTCAGAAAATCAGTAATAAGAATTGAAGAGTACAAAATTGGCTGGTGATGGTTGAAGCAGAATTCTGATAATGCTAAATAAGATATTGAGTGAAATCCTTTTTTTTTTTTTTTTGGGTCCCGTCGTGGGGCCTGAACTCTGGGCCTGGGTGCTGTCCCTCAGCTCTTCAGCTCAAGGCTAGCGCTCTACCACTTGAGCCACAGCGCCACTTCCGGCTTTTTTCTTTTTGCTTATGTGGTGCTGAGGAATCGAACCCAGGGCCTCAAGGCATGCAAGGCAAGCGCTCTACCACTGAGCCATCTTCCCAGCCCGAGTGAAATCCTTTTTGCACTGAATTTGGAAAATATGGATGATTGAAAGTACAAAGGTCTTATTTGAAGAGATTTGCTATAAAGAGATAAGAGATGGGAGACTGTATGTCACAGAGGATGAAAGATTAGAGAGGGTTTTAATAAACATCCAATGCATGACATTGGATGTTGTTGGAAATAATCACATGAGGAGTTGATCATACAGAAAAGGCTGAGCCAAAAATGCCTATGTAAACATTGCTGTCTACATGATTAAGCTTACTTATGGTTATTAATAGTAAATACTTTAATAGTAAATAGTAAATTTTAATCTTTTATGTCTTTTTGGCAATCGTGGGGCTTGAAATTAGGGCCTAAGTATTGTCCCTAAGCTTTATTATTCAAGGTTAGCAGTCTACCACTTGAACCACAGCACCACTTCCAGTTTCCTGGTGTTTAATTAAAGTCTCAGAGACCTTCCTGCTTGTGCTGGCTTTGAACTTTGATCCTTATAGCTCAGCCTCCTGTGTAGCTAGTATTACAGGTGTGAGCCACTAATGCTCACATAAATTTCAGTATTTGTAATATTAAGTAAATATTTTCGTATTTACTTCAGGGAGGAATGATATTCCAGACGTCCTGCCTCCACAGCAGAGAAAGAGGGGATTGTCCTTCTTAAAAATAGTTTGCTGAGCTGATTTAGTTTGCTGGATGGGGAAGAAGTGGATGAGGAGAAAGAATCTACCAGTGAGAGCAGCTACAGGGAATATACAGAATGAAGAGCTTCTAGTCACTCTTTAGAGACAGCTGACCCATTTGGCCAACACATTCATATAATTCTTAGAAATCTTATTTTTTTAATTTAATTTTATTTTATTTGTGAACATACTG